GAGCCCGGTGCCATCCCCTCCTTTTGCCCTTCTGGGCTTCTTCCCAACCCGGCTCCATCAGGGCCTGCCCTGGGATGGAGGTGACCCCCCCTCCAGGTCAGAGCTACCCCTCGGGCCACCACCAATGACACCAGGGATGGGGAGGGCTCCAGGGAGTCCCCCCAGCATGGTCAGAGCCTTCACCCTCCTCTTTCTCCCTGCAGGGCCCCCAGGCCCCCCCGGAGCCCCCGGCCGCGATGGAGCCAAGGGCCTCCCCGGGGAGAAGGGGACCCCAGGGCTCCCTGGACCCCCAGGTCCCCCTGGCCCTCCCCGGGCCCCCATAGGACCCTCCCCGCGTGTCCATCCCAGGTGAGGAGGGCCCCTCTGCAGCGCTGATCTGGGGACAGGGCGGGGGGCCTGGGGCCACCCCCCAGGGTCGCCACAAGGGCTTCCAGGGGGAAACCACCCCGGGGGGTCCATGGTGCCGCAGGGATGGATGGGAGGTCCCCGCTGGCAGAGCGGGCAGCGCTGTGGTGGATTCTCTGCTGTCTGATACAGGGGTTGCGCCCCTCTGCGCAGCAGGCACGGAGGGCTCTTCCCCTCCGGCCTTCCCGGGTCTCGTGGGAAGCTCTCGGCCTCCGCCAGCAAACACAGCTCGAATGAGCCGGGAGCCACGGCCCGCTGGGGGGTGCGGGCACATCTAGCACGTCCGTGTCCCCGCGGGGCTGGGGACAAGGCGGGAGGCGCTGCCAGGCTGCGGCAGCTCCGGCGCATCCTGGGTGGCACCGGGAGCCTGGGAGAGCACGGGGAAGCGAGGGGGGTGAGCCCACTGCCCCCCCCCACGGCACCCGCTGTCCGCAGGGGACCCGCTGCTCTCCAACAGCTTCACGGATGTGACCGGGGGCATCGTGGGCCCTGCCGGCCCCCCTGGCCCTGCAGGACCCGTGGGTGAGTGTCCCCCTTGCCAAGGGGCGGCTGGGGGGGCAGCTCATGTGATCCCCCCCCCACTGAGCTGTGACCATCTCCTTGCAGCCCCCCCCCACGGCACCCGCTGTCCGCAGGGGACCCGCTGCTCTCCAACAGCTTCACGGATGTGACCGGGGGCATCGTGGGCCCTGCCGGCCCCCCTGGCCCTGCAGGACCCGTGGGTGAGTGTCCCCCTTGCCAAGGGGCGGCTGGGGGGGCAGCTCATGTGATCCCCCCCCCACTGAGCTGTGACCATCTCCTTGCAGGACCCCCAGGCCCCCCCGGCCCTGTCGGGCTGCCTGGGCCCCCCGGACCCCAGGTGAGTGCCAGGAGCAACAGCCCTGGGTGACTCTGCACCACGCTGGACACCCCCGGGCTGAGACCGGGTGTTTTCATCACAGGGTAAAGTCGGACCACCCGGGGCTGCCGGCCCTGCCGGCGAGAAGGGAGACAGGGTGAGTTGTCACCGTTGTCCCCGCTTCCAACCCGGCCCCGTGCTGGCACTCCAGGTGCCCGGCCTCAGGGCAGGGCGGGCATCACGTCTGCAACGAGCTCGGCAGGTCTCAGCACCGGCAGCGGG